AAGAGGCGAATGTCCACATAAATTTTGACAGAGTGGCGAATGTCAAAGAAACATGATTAGAATGCATTTTGTCTGGTTTTGATAATGCATACCATGTCTTTAGTGGTGGTGAATGAACAAATGGTGCATTTTATCATGTTTCTTTGACATTCGCCACTCTGTCAAAATTTATGTGGACATACGCCCTTTTGTCAAAATTTCTGTGGACATTCGCCTCTTTGTCAAAATTGTTTGGGACATTCGCCTCTTTGTCACATAGTAGATGGACATGCCATATTGAGCTATTTGTATATCACAGGACCCATTGTAGATATTGATGTGCCGTTTGGTTCTGCATGTGTAACACATTATAAGAAACCATACGCCCCAAAAAACTCAATTTGACCAAATTGTGGACATACGCCCCTTTGTCAAAATTTTCCTGAGTTGATTGGATGCCTATGAAACCTTAAAGGCCCACGACCAGAAGCCGCGATCAAAAAAATTATTTTTCTTGAAATTCTTCTTATTTACCACCCAAATAGACGAGAGCAACAAAACATTCCGAAATTCGGCCGTAAATAACGAAATTACCAACATGTCGTTTATAAACGACAAGGGCCATAAGGGTATAGAAAATTTGACGATCCCTAATATGCTGACTTTTTGGTCAAAATTGGTCTCATTGTGTGGGTCTCGACTCAAATGTGAGGAATGTTTAAAAAAAATAGCATATTCGCCCTTGGGACTCGGGAAATGGAATAAACCGTCTAGAGGGTCACCTGCTCCGATCGGCTCCGGGCCCGTTTTCGGCGGCCTCTGTTCGACAAGTTTGAGTCGGAAAATATTTTTTTTTTCGTGGAATGGGTTTACCGACCAGGTGGTTACCCCCTCTCAACTGGAAAAAGTCGTGACTATCAAATTTGCCTCGGCAATAGGGGGCCAAAAGTAAGGAAAGGCGTAAAAAGCATATGTCGTTTATAAACGACACTGGGCTTACGGGGGTGGTGTGGCTGCCAATCGCCCTTCGAGGCGCCGAATACAATCGAAAGTTGATCAGTACCCTCCAAGACATAACAAAATACTCTAATAGGCATGTCACTTGAGAAAAATGCGTATTGGGTCCCTGAAAATAAGAACAGTGTAAAGGAGCGCCTCCTCCAATCGGCTCCGGGCCCGTTTTCGGCGGCCTCTGTGCGAAACGTTTGGGTCAGAAAATAATTTTTGTTTTCGTGAAATGAGTTCACCGACCAGGTGGTTGTCCGCTCTCAACTGGAAAACGTCGTGACTTTCAAATTTGCCTCGGCAATAGGGGGCCAAAAGTAAGGATTTCAGTAGTAGAACCTCCCCTTAAGACAAGAAGATTCAGAATACTACCGAATCTGTTCAGCAAAGCCTGGGCCAATGGGTACAGTTTTAAAAGTGCCGTCACTGTGTAGGACAAGGAACAGCCTCATCCTTGCAAGGTTCCTCTCAGAGACGAAAAGGATGTGGTGAGCTCCATCCTCATCAGTAACTGAGCATGCATACAGATTATCTCTTCCATCGTCTGTAATGGTGAGTACATGATATTGAGAGTCCAGGAGGATTCTCGTAAGTTCTCTCAGATTGGCTGGTGGCGGTGGATATTGGCTCATCCTTGCATTGCGCATGGGAGTTCTCATGCAAGCATAAGTTACCCTCGACACAACTTCTTCATTAAACCTTAAAAATAGAAAATTCTTAAAGAGGAAAAATTCAGAAAGAAATGTATTGTTTAACTTATCACACAACACAACTCTCCTACCATCGACATTCTTGGTTCTTTATTTGGCGGTACGACACGTACTCCATACTTCGGCAACGTGCAAGAAGTGCGTTCTTTAACGCCAGCTCATCTGGGTAGTATAAGTCAGCCTCATGTTCATGCTCTTAAAATTGTCGTAATCCTTCAATATCGAGCACAGCACGCCCATCCCATGACATCCTCTTTCATAGTACACACATTTAAAATATTCTTCAACTCCTGGAATGGCTCTATTGCAATGGTAGTGAAAGCCATCACCGATGTGGAAAAAGTATGTATCGGGCTGAGTCCCAGGTTCCTGCGCAACCTGCATCCTATGAAAAGAAGATATTTGGAGGTTAGGGTTCAATTTGAAGCAACAGCTGTCTCACGAACAACATAAACCGCCTGATAAAACATACTTTGGCAATTTCACGTGTGGTTCACATTTCTTTAAAGCTTGGTTGTGTCACCGACAAGCTCTGAGGAAATATAGCTTTCAGCAACGTCGATCAGCGGCCGGATGTCCAAGCACTCTTGTTGCGTTAGCGTTGCGTTTGCGTTCCAGGTCCTTTGATATGTTATGTTGACTTTTGAGCTCAGAGCTACGTGCTCCCGGGTGAAAAAACATCGACAGTAAGTTTGTATACAGAGGTATACAAGCAATTGTATAAAGCTGTATAAAGGTAATTGTATTACATTTGGTAAAACTGTATTACTTTGTCAGTATACCTTTTTATAAAATATTATACAATGTATACTTGAGCGTTTCAATTTACTCAAGGGAGAAGCGGCCTGAGTGGGTGGCTGTCGTTTTCCGAAAATATGTTTACCGGATCATTTTTTTGCCCTGAGCACGATAGTGGTTGTTTCACTTCCCTATGTGTAGCCGTTTACAAGTTATGCTGCATTTTAGAACTCAACCAAATTTTGCCTACATTTAGGGGAGTGCCCAGAAACGTTACTAGTCACTGTATGAGTGTATGTGCCTGTATACATTCTAATGTAGCGCAAGGTGGCATTTATTCACTTGAATGTGGCTATATACATGCGTGAGGTACAACGATGCTCTAATATACGTCGCTTTATATATGGCACGTTGATTGTATATACATTGTATTAGATTTTATAAAAACGTATACATGCCCCTGTATATGATTGTATAAAGTTTTACCAAATATTATACACATTTGTAAAACACCCTTTATATCGTTATATTACGGTGTACACAATCATATCCAATTTTATAAAAGTCTATAAATTGTAATAAAATTTCATAGTGAGTTGTATACAAACC